TATATATATATATATATATATATATTTGTATAATATATATTTCACTTTTATTATGTAGTGCACTTTTTTATGCAGTGCACGTAATTACAAATACACTTAGTTTTCAATCATGTATATATCGTCATTATCTAGACTGAGCCAAGGCTAAAGTACACATGTACTTTAGACCTTTCGGAACAACGTGATCACATTTTCGGGTATACCTATGAATCATACAAACGCGCAAGATTGGTAACAGATACGTTTCATTTTTTGCATACGTGTTGTATTCAGTTGTATTTGGATAGCGCACGCATACGACCTGTATGCAAAAAATCATAGTCATGGTCGTGTTGTCTTTGTATCTGCCTGCTCCACCTGGTCCGTGCACGACATAGAGGCTAGTAGTGGCATATGCTACGACGACGTATAGCATAAACATTGAAGAGATCCATTGTCAACTAGTTATGTGAGATATCGCGTACCTGGGCACGGATTTTAACAATCTCTTTCCTTCCCATATACGAGAAACGAGTGTGTATACTACTAACATGTGGGCCAGTTTACTAATATCATGTCGTTCATTCGGTGTATCCACCCACTTAGCTGCCTGTGCATGACATGGAGTGGGGCGAGGACTATGGTATCTACTACGAAGACAAGCATGTGAAAGATTGGGTATTAAACCAGTTCAAGTACATCTGTCAAGAGGAACAGCAGGAATTCCCGAATATAAATTCGTTGAAAGCGCACACTAAGGCTGAGCACAGCCTATTCTACTGTGATCTGTGTGTGCAGAATGTCAAGATCTTCTTCAGCGAACAGGTATGGTTCCGATGAGTCTCCATGTATATATATATATATATATATATGTATGTTTGTATGCATGTATATATATATATATATATACATATATGTAGTACATATTTATATATACATATATTTATATATATATATATATATGTGTGTGTGTGTATATATGTATATGTATTATATGTATATGTATATATATATGGATATTTATATATGAATAGGAGTATGCATATGCATATGCATATGCATATGCATATGCATATGCATATAGATGCATATCTATAGGTAAGTATTATATATATATATATATACGCATATTCTGAGGGGACTTGTTGTTTAATCAGCTGCTCTCGCTTGGCCACACCCTTAGGTCAGGTACACCAAAGCCAATCTGAACAAACACCGGAAGAAAGGAGACTCTGAATATCAGTCAGCTAAAGGTGAGGTGGTCATCGTGTATCCAGAAATCCGTCACTACTTGTCACGTGTCATGTGTTACATGTCATGTGTCACGTGTCCCATGTCGTAGCTATGACATTTTCATCGGCGTACGTTGCGGTTGATATTTGTTGGTCTTGACAGATAAGCACAAAACACCTTTGACTGTGACCTGCTGTTCTTCATTGTGATGGTCCTTCTCTCAATTATATTGTTTCACGTTTTCGACTGGCTTATGTACATGCACATGCATACATATACGTACATCCATACTGCCGTGTGTATTTACGTATGACAGCTAGGCACAACATACCTTGGACTGTGACCTGCTGTTCTTCATTGTGATAGTGCTTCTCTCATTCATATTGTTTTACGTTTTCGACTGGCCTATGTACATGCACATGCATACAAATACGTACATCCATACTCTTGTGTGTATCTACGTATATGCACATGTATTCATATGCGTACATCCATAAGTCTGTATATATCTACCTCGTGTAGTGAGTACAGATCCTCATACATATCCTTCCCACTGAATCTCAAATATATTCTTCCGAATCCCGACCATTTTAGGTCATCCCATGTGCAAATTCTGCGAGACCCGATTTTTCGACAACGACGCGCTTTTCGAACATTTGCGCCAAAAACATTACCAATGCCCCATCTGCACCAAAAACGGAGATGCATACGCGTTTTATGCCGATTACGACAGACTTGAAGAACACTTCCAGACGGACGATACCCATATCCAGTGCCAGGAACCGGAATGTATGTGATGTGTTTAGTGTATGTATGTTGTGGAGAGTGTATGTATGTTGTGGAGAGTGTATATGATGTATATAGTGTATGTATGTTGTGGAGTGTGTATGATGTATATAGTGTAGTATGTTGTGGAGAGTGTATATGATGTATATAGTGTATGTATGTGGGGCATCCATATGAGGGGTCATATAGACGCCCTTGTTCTAGGGATCGAGCCATATTGTGTGTGGTGTATGTATGGATTGGTTCAAGGGTAGGTATCCCATCTATGGTAACAAGTCTCTTGGAGATGAGACAGCGAATATCGTGCTCTGCGCACTCGTGTTCACAGCCAATGTCACAGTTGCAGGCGTATCTACATTGTATGTAGTGGGGGATGGGGGTTCATATATGGTATCGGAGCGCTTATATGTATATCTCACCCACAGGTTACGTCTTTTTTCCTATAGTCTTTGAATGCTTGTAAGCCGAATCTAACAGCCTCTATAGCTGTCCTCAGGACATACAAAATGTCCCTCACTCAAAGTGACGGCCCACTTCTCATACCCCTTTTAGGCCTTATTTCTGACCCACACGTTACACCTCATTGCCAATACCCTTCGTAAGCTCTTGAACCAAATCTAGCAGCATGTACCGGTGTCTTCAGGATGTCTCACCCACAGTTTGACCCGTTTCCAATATCCTGAGTATGTCTTATTCCTCACCCACAGTTTACGACCCGTTTCCTATATCCTTTGTAGGTCTGGAGGCCAAATTCATCGTATTCGGGTCACAGTTGGAATACAAGGCACATTACGCACAGGAGCACGGTAAGAACATGACACAGAGTGAGCGCAGGAAGGCGACAACGCTCGACTTAGAGTTCCAGGTATGGCCCAATCGGCTACACAGGATCAAGTTAGGGGTTATTGCGGACGTATTTGCGTGGATGTTACATACAATGTGCAGGTGGTTAGGTTATTAGGAGTGGGCTGTTGCTATGACAACCGTAAGAAGAGCAGCGAGAGTATTATATATGGTGGTTGGGTGGGGAACAGGGTATTGCTTGTACCAAATGTGTAGTTGAATATCCCAAAAAAAACCCCAAATTGCAGAATTAATACAAAATTAATCTGAGCTCCGCGTAAATGATGTGATGAAACGATTTATAAACTATAGTGCACAAAAGATCTGTTAGAACGGTTGCTGTCCTATAAATATCACATCCATTGTTGTCTTCGAGAACTGTTATAAATATCCTATACATATGTATCTTGATGCCTCGCTGCTGCTTTTGCCGTCTTTGGTCGTGAAATATATGTATATGCATATACATATACACATAAATAGATACATACATTCAAATTCATAAAAATGTATATGTACATGTGCACATACATATACATATACATATATATATATATATATATATATATATATATATATATATATATATATATATATATATATATATATATATAGTATATATATATATATATATATATATATATA